TAAATAATAAATTTTTTGTGACGAATGTAATTAAAGAATTCTAAAATATTTGGTTGAAGATTGACGTGCCATAGTCAGTATAATATGATGAAGGTTTGTGAAAAAATGTTTGAGTATTTATTTGTAAYGAGTAATAACTAATGAGATATAATAGACTACGATTTCTAGTAGTTTTAGATAAACATCCCCAGATTTGATTTTGATTTGTATAAATCAAAACTAACGATGTCGGTATGAATGCATGATTTATTATGGTAAGTAATAGGATCACCTGAAATCTGGAAATAGTATCCGGGAAAACGAATATATTGAGATTTAAATTAAATATATGATAAGAGTTTACGATGAGAGTGAAATATCTATTATACAAGATCGTTTTAATTATCTTCTTATTTGTAATTTGTACATTTCTAATTCACTTTGATGAACGTGAATTTATATGTATGCATATATTATTATGTTTACGAACATATCAYCTCATTGTAAAATTATTCAATTCAAATTTATCTCTAAGCTTATCTGCGCAGACATTATTTTCGATTAATTTTATATCCTTAATAGACTCATTAAATATACATATTTTTTTAATGATATTTGACGAAAAAAAATATTTAAGTTACATAAAAACGAATTATAAACAATAAAGTTTATTAGCTGATGATTTAAAATAAAAATAAAAATTTTATTTAATTCAGGAATAATTAACAATTGTAGAGAATCTTTATATTTATTGATTAAAAGAGTGCATTATAAAAACTAGTATGGAATTTCTATTAAATTAATAAAACAATGTTTGTGTTTCATCAAAAGTATAAAACTTCAAAAGACTTTATAGCAACCAGAATTATATTATAATATAATAATGATGATATAGCTTCTAGAAAGTGGTACAATTGTACAATTAATTTTTTTATTGTTGTTTGTGGCATCTAGTGTTAAAAGTACCTACACATAATTGCTAGTGAAGAGATATTACAAAATATTATTATTGTAATGTTTTTGTCGACAGATGGGCTCATTTAAAATAAYAAAGATTTTAAAATAAACCCAAAAATAACAAAAATATTTAGCATTTAAGTCGCTTAATTTGGTATTCGCCCTAATGCTTAAGATCAAGTGAATAAAACTACTGCAGAGATCTGCGAAACTATATATGATAAAATCTTATATATTTTTCTGAATAAGGGTGAGTAATAATTCAGACCATAATAATAAGTGCATATAATAGGTGCAACGTTTTCGACTAATATATAGTAATATATTTGATCAAATCGAATCGATATATTTGCGTATCATGACTGATGGCTGGTTCGAGGACACAGTAATATTATGCCGTTATAATATACAATAATATCATAC